TTACAAGTGTGACCCACACTGGACCTTGGTTCCCTTTTAATAGCTAGAATTGGTTAGAATTCTCAGCCTCTGGCTCAGCGCCTGTGGCTCAAGCGGCTAAGGTGCCAGCCACATACACCTAAGGTGGCGGGTTCGAATCCAGCCCGGACCCGCCAAACAACAATAATGGCTGCAACCAAAAATATAGCCGGGCGTTGTGGCGGGCGCCTGTGGTCCCAGCTACTTGGGAGGTGGAGGCAGGAAACTTGCTTGAGCCCAGGAGTTGGAGGTTGCTATGAGCAGTGAAGCCATAGCACTCTGCCCAGGGGGACAGCTTGAGGCTCTATCTCAAAAAAAAAAAAAAAAGAATTCTCAGCCTCAGGTAAAAAGAAAACTTACCTCCTCGCCACTATTTCTTGCCCACTTTTCCATGTTAAGCAGTTACAATGCTTTAATGGAAAATGCAAGTTTTGGGAGACATGATGATAAAGGTCTTCAAGTATTTGTTGGGCTACTCTTTAGAAAATGACTTCAATTTATCAGTTTAAAAACCCACCATGAAACAATGAGTACCATTAGAAGATTACCCAAAGAAATATCCATAGTTGCACAGTACAGTAAAGAACTGAGGCATAGTTATTGTGCCTGTAGAAGCTGCTCATCAGACCTCAAGATCTGGTGCTGCCTGATCTGTGTTAAAATTCAGACAATGGAGCCTATGAGGACCTGGTTTTCGCTTTATCCTGCTGGCAGATCTTCACAGCCACCGTTTTTATCCTATGCTCAGAAAACAAAGACTTCAAGGATATCTTTTTTGTTTTCTGTGTCTATAAGAAAGTATCTTTAGAAACCTGATGGTCAATAAATCTTTATTTTTAATTTCCATTATTTTCTGTTTGAAAGTGCCTTATGACTGGAAGGTTTGAGCATCTCCTATCACGTCTCTGTCTTCTTGACTAGACAAAACTTAGCTTTCTCCTGCTTTGTGTTTCTTTTAATGCTACCTAGCTCCCAGGAGGCCTGTGTAACAGCTGTTGCTCCCCTAGTCCCCACACCCCTCTGTCCTTCCTGCACAGCCCTTAGAGATACTTGTATTACACCCAGCTCCTACTGCTGTTCTCTGCTGCATGATGGGTCTGGTAAAGCAGCCCTGTTGGTGTCATGTTTTGAACCTCACTACAGTGAAGTGGCCAGGAGGGACATTTGATTGTCTTGCCATGAATCTGTGAATCCGAAATTTTGTAGCAAAAAAACTCATCAATAACCACAAGGAGCAAAAAATGTACCATTCTAGCACATTATCATTCACAAAATGAATTCCAGACACCTGAAAAACATACTTTAAAGCCTACAAGAAAACAAATACAGCTTGTACCTGTGGATAGGGAAGTATTTCTAAGTGGATACACTCACAAAAGCTGATAAATTGGGTCAAATTAAAAAAAATTTAAACGAGGCAAAGAAACACCTTAAGCAAAGTTAAAAAAACAAAAAAGACTGCAGACTGATAGAAGGTATTTGAAATTCCAAATATCAGATGATGTTAAATACCCTTTAGGAAAAGACAAATGACAGAGAAATGGTCAAAGGCCAACACCATCTGAAAACTGCTCTCTGGACTACTGACGCGGGAAATGCAAAACAGGGAGATGTCATCTCACACCCATCAATTTTGTCTTAAAACAAAATCTTCAAACCCTGACAATGCCTAGTGTCTCTTCATTTCCAAACGGTGGGACTTTGGAAATTGATTTGGCCAAACCAGTAAAGTTGGAAATGTACAAATCTTACAACCCAGAGAGTTTAAAGACAGTGTAGTTTGTGTGTGCACAAGGAGGTATGGACAAAGAAACCACTTCAATGGCCAGGACCCACCCCAACAAATTGGGAACATGAACAGATGTGTATGGATCAATAAGGACAGAGGCAGCTGTCAACACTTTACAATATGATTTAGGTGTTAAAAACATAATGCAGGCTTGGTGCCTGTAGCACAATGGTTAGGGCGCCGGCCACATACACCACTGAGGTTGGTAGGTTCGAACCTGACCCAGGCCAACTAAACAATGACAACCGTAACAAAAAAATAGCCGGGCATTGCGGTGGGTGCCTGTAGTCCCAGCTACTTGAGAGGCTGAGGCAAGAGAATTGCTTAAGCCCAAGAATTTGCTGTGAGCTGTAACGCCATACCATCTACCCGTGACAACATAGTGAGAGTCTTATCTCAAAAAAATATATATATAATGCAATGCTAATTATGGCTATGTATACACATAAATATGGATACAGTCATGACAGTGGAACTGAAAGGGGACAGGGAATGTGTCTGGAATGGGTAACAAAGTGGCACAAAAACTACGTTTAAAAGATCTGATGCAAATATCACAAAATGTTTAACATTTTGGGTGACATAAACTGGGTGTCATTTTTCTCTGTAGCTTTCAGTCATTTTTTTCTTGGCTTTCAAAAATGGTTATCTATAGGTTCCAGCATCACAGTACATGGAAGAATCACAGAATGACAGAGCTGGGAGAGACTTTTCGGGTCATCCATCCTAACTCTGTTTGCATATTAGACAAGTGAGCCCCAGAGAAGTGACTTGCCTAATGTCACACGGTCAGCCAGTGGTCAGGTCACAGCTGTCACCTGGTCCTTCTACTCTGGTGCAGGCCAACATTAAAATATACATGCTGCTGTAAGAGATAAATCCTAAATATATGAAGACTTTTGGATTAAAGTCCCATAGGATTAAAATTAAATGGATGAAAAAGATTATAAAAATAGTAGCCAAGGGCTGGGCACAGTGGCTCACACCATAATCCTAGCACTCCAGAAGGCCAAGGCAGGTGGACTGCCTGAGCTCAGGACTTTGAGACCATCCTAAGCAAGAGTGAGACCCTATCTCTAAAACTAGCTGGGCACTGTGGTGGGCACCTATAGTCCTAGCTACTCGGAAGGCAGAGGCAAGAGGATCACTTTAGCCCAAGAGTTTGAGGTTACTGTGAGATATGATGCCACAGCACTCTACCAAGGATGACAAAGCAAAACCCTATCTCAAAAAAAAAAAAAAAAATAGTAGCCAGAAGTAATCGATACGGCTGTATTAATATCCTATAAGATAACTTTTAAGGCCAGAAGCTGTGGTAGATGGAGATTATAAAGGCCATTTCATAATGATAGAAAGGTCAATCAACTATGAAGATGTAACAATTCTAAACATATATCCACTTAGTAAACTAACTTAAAAATATATCAAGAAAAGCTGACAGACACAAAAGAGATATACGAATCTATAATCCTAAGAGGAACTGATAAGAGGTAAGAAATCAGGATACAGGGGATTGGGAAAAAATGACTCATAAACTTGATCTAATAGCCTAACAAAAGCACTGAATAATGACAGAATATTCTTGATCACAGACATGGAACATTGCTCAAAAATTGACAATATGGGGCAGTGGCTGTGGCTCAAAGGAGTAGGGCACCAGCCCCACATACCAGAGGTGATGAGTTCAAACTCAGCCCTGATCAAAAACTGCAAAAAAAAAAAATTTTTTTTTGACAATATGTTGGGTTATAACGGATATCTCAATTTCAACTGTCTGAAAACTATCAAGACTATGTTTAATGATTACGCAGAATTATATGTAAGCAATTGTTAATTTAACCTAAATTTAAGTGTTCAGAAATTAAGCAATACATTTCCAAATAACTCAGAGATCAAGCAAAGAACATGCTTTGCTTTATTCAAAGCTTTACCCAGAGTCATTCATTATTTAAGAACAATCACATCACAAACAGCAAACAATTCATGGTACCATCTCCACTAGCAGTTAGTTAGTGATTCTACACAGTGGCACACACGTCTGACTGCTTCACTTTATTTATGTCATGTGGTTGCACCTGACCATTTGCATATTCAAATATTTATTACAAATCACTTCTCTTTTCTATGGTACTAAGGGAATTATAGTCTGTCACATGTTATATTGAATGCATATAGTTATATTTAGATATACTATGAACTCACTTCATGATGGTAAAGAAGAAATTTCAAAATGGTTCTTGTAAAAAGAACATAGGGTCTTGACAGCGTTGTAAAAGTCCCTCTTATTAGCTTTTTTTTTTTTTTTTTTGAGACAGAGCCTCAAGCTGTCCCCCTGGGTAGAGTGCCGTAGCATCACAGCTCACAGCAGCCTCCAACTCCTGGGCTCAAGCGAGTCTCCTGCCTCCGCCTCCCAAGTAGCTGGGACCACAGGTGCCCACCACAGCACCTGGCTATTTTTTTGGTTGCAGCCATCATTGTTGTTTGGCTGGCCCAGGCTGGATTTGAACCCACCACCCTAGATGTATGTGGCTGGTGCGCCAGCCACTTGAGCCACAGGCGCCGAGCCTTATTAGCTTTAATATTCTAAGATTTTTGTATTTGGTAGCCATTATTTCCTGCAATAGCTTTCATCTGTTTTGTAACTAGTATGTGGTGGGCACTATCTTTGGAACAGTACCTCATTTAAATCTAATGATCACCTCTATAAAAAGTACTGCTATTCTCACTGCTCCTAGGAGAAAACAACCTCAGAGACATAATCTACATAGCTAGAAAGTATAGTTAAATTAACTCCTAAACTCATGTTCTTTCCACTTACTACCCTTTAAGAAAAGGTCAACAAGGTGTATTACTCCAGCTAGAAAAGTATTATCTGCACACGGAAGTGAGGTTACACCAATGTAAACATTTGTTAAGAAACCCCTGCCTGGTGGCGCCTGTGGCTCAAAGGAGTAGGATGCCAGCCCCATATGCTGGAGGTGGCGGGTTCAAGCCCAGCCCCAGCCAAAAACTGCAAAAAAAAAAAAAGAAAAAAGAAAAAAATCCCTGCCCACCACAGCAAGGACAAGAAAAGATGGAAAGTATAAAGTATAGGCAATTAAAAAAAAAAAAAAAACACAGGACTAATTAAATGAAACAATTACAAATAGGTGACATCTGAAAATATATTAGAATAAGCTTCAAGTCACGAAAGTTCACCAAACAATTTTTATTTCCAGTGTTTAATTGGGTATGCACACAGGCATGACACGGGTTTGGATTCATTTAGTCCTCATGCAGAATTATATTCTTCCCCATAAAGAAGCCAGTTCCATCCAGGATCCACTATCTACACACCTATGTTACAACATTTATATCAAATCTGGTATCTGAAGAAAAGATACACATTTAATATGTTCATTTAAGTTATGTATTTTACAGAAAGATTAAAAATTCAAGTCACACAAAAACTCAAAAACTGTATTAAAAGTTGGAATATAAAACTCAGATCCACCTGGAATGACTGAAGAATGGAGGTGCAGTATCCACCTGTGTTAAAACCGGTAAAATGTAGTGATATTTGTTACCAATAAAATGCATTCGTGTATTCAATGTGAGTTATCTAATTATAACAATATGGCACCCTAAAAACCAAATGTATTTTTATGATGAGGCACTTCTGTTAGTGATGAAACCAAAAGAACACATTTCCTGCACACTAATGCCAGCGATTTTCCTCAGTAAGTTGGGGTATATACTATGTTGTAAGTTGCAACAAATCCCTTGCTCATTTGTATACAACTATCCAATATATTTTTAAATATATATATTTTTATATATATACATATATATGTTCTTCTGGCTGTGTAATGCACTGTAAAGCTATTCCACAGTGCAAGGTGATGAAACCAGCCCAAATGAGGGCTGCATAATAACAATTCTGGTACAAGAAAATATTTACAGAGTTATCAGAACGCGTAACAGTAGCTTTTTATTTGCTATACTGGACATACCCCGGGCTTAAAGACAGGGATGAAACTGTGCTTTATGACCTGGGGTTTCAGACAGTTTATGAGGTTGGGTATTGGCTGCAGAACTAGCGATCTGGCTCATGTTCTGGAAGCTTTCTCCGTTTATTTGGTCAGATGACTGTGGGGGTGCAGAAAGAAGGGGCCTGTTCGTGGAAGCCACGGTACTGGAAGAACTGCCTGTGTCGGACTGAAAAGACAAAGGTGTGTCAGTCGTGGGTCTCTCCAGAACCCTCGGGCTCTCCAGCTGGGGGTCCCCGGCGTCCCCCCGGCTCAGGTCGGACGTGCTGGTGCGGAGGCGTTCCCTGGCGAGCCAGTCTGAGATGGAGAGGTCCTGGGCTGAGCACTTGGGTTTCAACCGATTCACAGCGGAAAGTTCAGATTCCCTCTCCCCACCCTGTTCCTGCGCTTTCCAAAAATTCAAAACGCTGATCTCGGTGGCATCCCTGTGCCCCCCTAGCGTGTGTCTCCGTTTGATGTTTTTCCTTTTCGCGGTCTCAGCGTTCGCTTTTTGATTTGCTACTCCAAACATATCGTCCGCAGGTGCTCTGGGCCTCAGTTTTAACCGATCCGCTATTTTAGTTTTCCAGGTGGGCTCCTGTTTTTCGGATTCACTCCTGGTCGGGGTGAGCAAACTCCCAGTGGACTTTCCCTTCTTCATCACGTCAAACACTTTAGAGATGGAAGGGGTTTCTCTCTCGCTCTTGGCGTCCCCTAGGCTTCCGCTGTCTGACTTGAATCGGGAGGATTTTTTCCTGGACAGCGTGTCGCATTCGATGAGTTTATGGGAACTGAAGAGCTGCCTCCGGCTGTCCAAGCTCGGGGTCAGACTCCCCTCGGTGCCACTCACTTCGCTGCCCTCAGAATTCCTCCGGCTCAGCTTAGCGGCCTCCTGCAGTTTCCCTCGGAAAAGCCTCTCTGAGGTCAAAGCCGAGGGGAACACGGGGAACTCGCTCTCGCTGTCCGTCTCCACCGGCCGCCCTTCGCTGACCAGCTCGCTCCTCTCGTCGTCGGCCTCGTCCCCTTTGCTCTCTGCCACCGACTGCACCTCGGGGCTCAGCCGGCTGGAATCCAGGCTGGTCAGGTAAGTGGTGGACGATGTCGTGGAGTAATCCGAAGTGATGGTGCCCGTGTTGGCCAAAAACTCGCTGTGCTTCATTTCTGGACTGGTTGATTTCTTCGTGGGAAACCTGGCCAGCGACGCCTGGGAAGATGTGCTGAGCAAAGTGCCCGAGTCAGACCCTGTCTCTTCAAAGTGCGAGGACTTCTGTGTCAGCAGCGACTTGGGGCCCTCCTTCAGGATGGCCAGGCGACAGCTGAGGGTCGGTGACTTGTTCTGTTTGGGATGGTGCGGGGCCGCGGGCTCTTCGGGGGCCGCGCTCTCCTTTTGGAGAGCTGTCTTTTCGTCTTTTGCCGCGCCCGGGTCTTTCCTGGCGGTGTTGTCTTTGGCAGTGATGGTCCTCTGCTTTCTGCCCGGTGTCTCGCTTTCTTTTTTGGACTCTTCTTTAATATCGTTGTGACACTGCTCCACGTTTTCCTTCCTAAAAAACACATTGTCCAGCTCGTCTTCCGAGCTGCTGGGCTGGGCTTTTTCTTTTGGCTTTTTCCTCTTACGACTGGCGGCTGCGAAGATGGAGGAAACCAGCAGTTCCCTGCTGTACTGATCCTTTCCAGAGCCCCAAGAACCCTGCGGAGAAACAAAAGAGGCTCTCTGAGCACGAAAATATCATCCAGTTCAGTCTACCAAGGCTCTAGAAGCAACAACAGAGAAGGAATTAGCTTTTCTATACTTCCTTTTAACTTGTACACAAGAAGAATTTTTATTTAACTGGTCTCATTTCTTGACCAGTGGTATTACTTGCCAAATCGTATTTGCCAAGTCATGCAAATTTGTCTTTTAGGGAAACAGTCTGTACTCCATGCCATCTGTCTATCCTGATTCTTATTAATTTCCTTGAAGCTACTGACTTCCCTGATACTGCAGAGCTCAAACATTCTTCCACTTCTTTCACGTGGAAAGAGGCTTAAGAGTTAAATTCTTTCATTTTTTGTTGAGACAAGAGTCTCAAGCTGCTGCCCTGGGTAGAGTGCTGTGGTGTCACACCTCATAGCAACCTCCAACTCTTGGGCTCAAGTGATCCTCTTGTCTCAGTTTTTCTATTTTAGTAGAGACAGGGTCTCACTTTGGCTCAGGCTGGTCTTCAACTTGTGAGCTCAAGCAATTTACCTGCCTAGGCCTCCCAGAATGCTAGGATTACAGGCATGAGCCACCATGCCCCACCTTAAACAATATTTTTTTTTTTTTTTTTGAGAGAGAGAGAGTCTCATTATGTCGCCCTCAGTAGAGTGCCATAATGTCATATCTCACAGCAACATCAAATTCTTGGGCTCAAGCAATTCTCTTGGCTCAACCTCCCAAGTAGCTGGGACTACCGGTGCCTGCCACAACACCAGCCTATTTTTTGGTGGCAGTTGTCATTGTTGTCCAGCAGTCCCTGGCCGGGCTCAAACCCAGCCCAGTGTATGTGGCCGGCGTCCTAACCACTGAGCCACAGGTACCAAGTCCTTAAACAATATTCTTAAATAATTGAATATGACATTCTAACACAGGCTATTAAAATTTTATGACTGACTCCAATCTTCTAATTATATATGAATTATCTTCACATGATACAGAGATTATATTAGATAGGCCCATTAAGATAAGTCTGGTCTTCCATTAGTCTGGTCAAGCTGAATCTTCACATCAGGATGGTAATGTCTTCATTTATCTCAAGGTAACCACAGAATTAGAAAATTCGTAAGAAAAAAACAGAGGACCATAAATCCTTGCCATAGAAACACTGTAATTGGTAAAGTTGTCTGCAATGTATAATAGGTTCTTGATTACAACTATTAATCTGTGTTTTTGTATATACTAGATGAACGGTAGGTGGAGGATTAATAAATACTTGTTGTTTTACCACATACTGTTTAAAACAGGCGGGCAAGGTGGCTCACACCTGTGACCACTTGGGAGGCTGAGGCAGGTGAGCTCACAGGTTTGAGACCAGCTTGAGCCAGAGCAAGACCTCATCTCTAAAAATAGCCAGGTGTTGTGGCAGGAGCCTGTAGTCCCAGCTACTCGGGAGGCTGAGGCAAGAGGATCGCTTGAGCCCAAGAGTTTGAGGTTGCTGTGAGCTATGACACTACAACACTCTACTGGGGGAAAGAAAGTGAGACTCTGTCTCAAAATTTAATAAATAAATCTACAGAATGATGCTTAACTGAATCCTGTACAAGGAAATAAAAAATAAAGAACATTATTGGGGAAATTTGTATTAAAAGTGTCTATTTTTTAATTATGTCATTAATTGTAGATAACAGGAAAAATATTTACAGCATCTGTTCTAAAACGGTATTCTTTACTATATGCTACTCAAAAAACCCCCAAACTGACCACTGTACATTGGATAATGATGCATTATACTTATGTTAGTTTCCTGATTATGGTTAAGTATTTAGGAGTAGTGGTACCATGTCTAAAAGTAACTTTCAAATGACTGATGTGTGTGTGTGGGGGTATTGGAATTTACCAGATGAATCTAGGGGAAAAGGTTGAGATGATATTATTCTAGCAACACTTCTGTAGGTTTAAAATTTTTCAAAATACAAAGTTGGAGCAAAGAGATAGTGAAAATCATAAGTGACAGTGATACAAATTTAAATATTTTCTATAAGAATTGTAATTTAATCATGTACAATCCTCTTACGTTTATACCTGGCATGGAGAATTCATCTCATTATAAAACGTAACAGTTTTAAGGTTATTGACAATTTTAGTGGCTACTGCCTCAGCAGAGCAAAATTGAGACATACTTAATAAAAATACTTTTTCTTTTTCTTTTTTTTTTAATTGAGACAGAGTCTGACTTTGTCAGCCTCGGTAGAGTGCCGTGGCGTCACGGCTCATAACCACCTCTCAAACTCTTGGGCTCAAGCGATTGCCTCAGCCTCCCTAATAAAAATACTTTCTTTCTTTTTTTTTTTTTTT